CCCCCCCCCCCCACCTAATTGTTTTCTTCCCGTACGCTTATGATTATAAGTACCGAAACAATCTATATATTTATCATTAAATTGTCTACTTTTTTTGATACTGCATGTGAACATTACCCGGTAAAATGTTGCTTTCTCTTACCTATTGTTGCGACTATATTTTTATTAACTGTTATGACAAATTCTACACAAAATTATTTCAATATGCAACGTTTCGGGCAGTTTTACTGCACGTCTTCTGGTTTTTAATAATGTTGTGTCAAAGATTATACTGGTAGATCATGTTGCATGTGGCAAAGATTATATAGATTTGTTTATAGCAAAGATTTTGCATGTCTGTACCAATTACAATTTGATTGCAGAAATCATGGCCAGTAGTGCAAAACGTAAAAAACTCAACGATGAAGCAAATGGCACAAGGATTAGTCAACTGTTGGTGAACAAAGGAACAGAAGCGCTCAGACAAACTTTCGATAAGTATAATCCTCCTTCTCAATTACAAACAGTTCTCAATACAAAACAAACTAAACTTCAAACACTTCGGGGTAGGATTCTTAATGATGATCAATGGAATCTTTTATATCCCGCATCCGGCAATCCAGATTCAAAAAAATTTGATATCACTTTACTGTCGGTTCTTTTACGGAATATTTGCAATTTGAAATCCCCAGCAACAGGTTGATCTACTATGCCCCTGGAAACTGACAGAAGTGAAGAAGCCAACCTCGTCCGAATAAAATTTTATAGAAACAAGATCTTGGCTCATGCTCCCAGCACTGAAGTAAGCGACAGTCAATTTGACGATTTATGGCCAAAAATTTCCCAGACGTTGCAAGACCTTGGAATTCCGCAGGCCGAAAATGACGAGTTAAAAACATGCCACTTAAGCCCTGAAGAAGAAAACTATATTAAAATTTTGGAAGATTGGAAATCAAAAGATGATGCGTTACATGAAACATTAGATGAAATGAACGTTTCAGTAACAAAAATACTCAAGACAACTGAAGAAATCAAAGAGTCCATACCCGAGTCAATAGCTAATCAAGGTAAAGAAATTAAAGAATCGATAGCTAACAAAGTTGAGGAATCGTTCCGAAAAATACTGTCTAAATTGCCTAGCCAAGCAGATGCTGATGAAAATCTACTAACCGAAAAGCTTTGTAAATTTACGTTTCCCGGTGATATTAAGAAATTAATAGAATCATTTCATCCAGGTACAAGGAAGTGGTTATTTACGAAAGTTGACAATTGGTTTACAGAACAAGAGTCAAAAGTGTTTGTATTGACGGCTGGACCCGGTGTTGGGAAAAGTGTATTGGCCGCAAAAATGATCGAATTATATAAAGAAAAGGAATCCTTGGCAGCTTGCCACTTCTGCAAGTTTAATGACTCCAATCGTAGTAATCCGGAAAAAATGATACAGTCGTTGGCAAGTCAGATGTGTGATTCTGTCAAAGGATTTAAGGAAAAACTAATCCGAACTCCTCCAAACAATTTATCAAACTTGCTTTAAATCAAGCTTTCATACTAGTTGCACATGCAAATTTGCAAAAGATATTAGTCAATTTCATGACAGAACCAACTATATGCTTCAAGCAGAAAACTATTAAACGTTTTGGATTTACTGCAAATAAATATTAACTTTAAAAACTATTTACAGGCAGAAATTACTGAAAAGCAATAATAAGTTCTTCATAAATATCGGATGTAGACAGCATATTCTAACAGCATATATAAAATCGGCATACATATATCGCAGCCATTGGTTCCAGATAAACCATTAAAAATAGCAGTTCACGAACACGCATATAGGAAAACATTTAATACTAAGTTCTTTGTTTTACTATCATAACTTACAAATCTGCTTGGTAATGAAGAGGATATTATCGTTTGTCACTGAGAGCTTGTTGAATGTAAAACAGAAGGACAGTACGAGAGAAATACTGATGTCCAAAAGCTCAGTGCCAAAAGCTTGCAGCACAAATCTTAAAGAGTGGGAAGTGACTGCAGTCGAACCGATTTGAATGGTGAAAAATCTGCCATAAAAGACGTTTGATGACAACCGAATTGAAGACATGAAGCGACACCTGCAGCGTTTGTGTAAAGAAGCCGCTTATGCCCCGCCGTTACCAGAAGAAGACTTAATTGGAATGCAGCTGCCGTGTTACAGATACCAGCAGTATAAATATCAAAAGCAAGGAAGAAAAGCGATGCAACGGGCGTGGTCGGATGGCTCAAACCATCACCAATGATAACAATTGGAAGAAAATGAAGTCAGTAAGTAATCCGTGCAGAAAAATACTCTCGCAAAGTTGTTGGTCATAATCGAAAACTGACGGCTTACAAATAAAACAATAGTACGTGAAAATAAATCCCTGGTAATAAATGAACAAAAATGACGTGCTTCTTATACTTTCAGTTTTAACCATTGAACTCTACATATACTGGAACGCTAACCCATTAAAGCCAAACTCTAAAGACCCGTTTACACTTGCAATTTCTGCCGCAATTTTAGGTGCGATTTCCTTCTTCTGATGGATGTGAACGAGTGGATGAGTTATGAATGTTCAGATGAGGGTACATCAATGAAACATATACTCAGAACATTCGTAACTCATCTACTCGTTCACATCCATCAGAAGAAGAAAATCGCACTAGAAATCGCAGCAAAAATTGCAACTAAACGAGCCTTAAAAAGAGCTGACCAGACGAGTTTCGCAAGGAGCTAAAAATTAAGCCGGAAGTTATTTTTGTGCGAAAGTAAGCAAAAAAAAGCTTATACTTTCATCCGAAAATTTTAATTCTTAAAGATAAATTCTGGTTGTAGCAAAATGAATGTGAAGATGCATTTTTGCAATTTAAATAATAGCAATAGTTTAAACTTGCCGAATAAGAATGTTATGCTCAATTCCAAAAACAATTTTTTGACGGTGACAAACTTTGTGCAAAAATGAAATACGGGTATTGCTTTTTATTATAATTATTGTACATTAATCATATTTAAACCTCGCTCTCACCACTCAAAAATAAAAATGTTTTCTAAGAGATTTTTACCAGCGAGCACGAATGGCTTCAAATATGGCGGGGAATTATCGTTTCAGTCTCTAAGAAGAGTTCAATGGTTTTAATCAGCTTTCGTGGAAATCGACTTTGAATGTTTGTTTGAAAGTTGTGATTGTTCGATCTGCATTGGTTAAGGAAACAATTCAATTTCTGAAATGAACTTTCTGGAAAAACAAACATTCAAAGTTTTATCTGTCAAGAAAACTTGAAAAAGGTAGATGGAAAACTAGCTATATAATTATACAAATGTGTAAAGGGTCTGAAAACGAACGGCAAATTAGTTCAATAACTGAGCTAGGTAGTTTTAACCGAACGTGTATTTTAGCGCTGTTATATTGTGGAACAATTCCACCTGACATGTAAGGCATAACATATATTTTATTCGATTTCTCGCAACTTTAGCGGGAAAATAAAGTTACACTATTGGTTGAAACAGTGAGCTCCATAACTGTGTGCTCTGGCAGTAAAACACTGCTCAAGCAGTTAAGGTAAGATTTTTGCATAATTGAGGGGTGTCATTTGACTTACAGCCAGACCGAAATACTTATGTTGACCCGAATGTCAGAACACGTTATTTTAATAGATCTACTTGTATTACCACAGCCCTGGCAAGATTTTCTCGCTACTTTTAGTAGTCTTGTCGCAAAGACGCAGTCTCTTCAACTACCCTGTCAGAATTTTACCAAAAATTACCAAAGACTACGCGACGAAAACAAAAAGGTGCAGAAAGATATGGAACGTGTGTCTATTGGCACTGTCAGTGTAATGTTAAAGAATTTACAAGAATTTTGTACTAGAAAACATAATTCTTCTATTCCTAAAAGGACTTATGTATCACATAAACATTAATGGTTAGCAAGGAAGATCGCTGTCTGTGTGGAGTGCATCGAAAGAGTTCCAATAGTTTTTAACAACTTACTGGTATACCGAAGGAAATATCGTAAACGCTAGAACGAACAAAAACCAAAAGAGAGGGAAGCTTTTTCTGAAGGAAAGTAAGGTTGACTGTTTTCAAATAGTATCAAAATAAAATCCAAAAGCAAAGAATATCTATTCTTTGTGGCTAAAAAATATTGCTCACAAAGGAGGCCTAAAAAAGGCTCAAAAAGTTAAAAATTGTATGAAAGAGTAACAAGTCAAGCCAATTGGTCAATACATGATTTTGGGATTGATTTTCGGGACGAACCAGAACTTTTAGCCTGAGTGTGAAGACTGAAAGGAATCTAGATAAAAAATGTTTTCTTTAACACTGATCGTCAGATAAAGGTTCGCTTTGAGTTTTGTGTCCTCCTTACAATTGCTAACGAAGACTAGTCAACTACAGACAATAAGATACACTGATTTGGGGACACATTTTTTGCCAAGGCGTGAAATGTTGAATGTACTTGCAAAGCATGATGGAAAATCCAAGAAAAAAACAAGAGAAGAGCATATTGTAAAGGAACGCTCAGTAGATTGTCCTAAAATAGGACCAGAATTTAAAGGGAAAATACGGTAAAACTGTGCTAAGATCCAGAGTCACAGAATTATGAAAGAACTTTGTGAAGATTGAAGTAAATCGTTGAAACTCAAAGGCAAAAATAACTTCTTTAACACTGGTTGTCACAAAACAATGAATTTTGGAAACAGAACGCTACATTGTTTTTTATGGGATGAACTGATATTTATGGGCATGTGATGCACGTGAAACGAATAAAGCAGGAGAAACACTTGCACGGAAGCACCAGTGATCCAACCAACCGTACTACATATATAGACGTAGGAAAATGCATTTGGACGTGCTAAAATAAGATACCCCGGCATTTACGTCAACATAAGTAATTTTAAACGGATGTGGGTAATTTTTAACCCTCAATCATGCAATCATTCGAACTTTGGTCTGTTATAAGCAGTTTTTTGAACGCAAGTGTGCAACTGGAGTAAAAGTAGGGACGTCGGAACTGCGGAAGAGGAGAAGAAGGAGTAGGTTGGACGGTTGCCCCTTCAACGGCAGGGCCAAAGTTTTCGTTATAATTTAAAGAATTATTTATCAATCTTAATTAAAACTATCAATTTTGTTGCAAGTTAAAAAGAAGTATTCATTTATTTCATGTTATTAAATATATTCAACGACCTTTTCGGCTGGAAAAACGTATGAAAATGCGTGCATGTCAGTTCATCTTTGCAAAAACATTTGAAAAAGCGGGATAAAAAAGTGCCTTTGACAAGAACCTGCCACTTTAGTCAATTACACGAAGGAAGTATGAAGCCAAAGTGACATCCAATTCCTAAAATGTTTGGCTTCATACTCCGATCTTAGTACATTACTCCAGTAACATATTGAGCTCACTGAGTCAAATCAAAGCAATAATATGTTAAGCAATATAAAGAATGAAAGTTACTTTTGAAACTGTCTAACCGAATAAAACTCCTCACAAAAAAATACAACCAAGATATTAAATGTTCTGCCTTTTCCTCCAAAAATGGGTTAATTAAAAGAAAGAATTCAACACAGCAAATATTATTAATATACGGCTGGCGGAAATACTTATTCAAGTGCTTGAGTACTAAATTAAATAGGTACGTAGAAAGTTGTACATAACTTGTTTTATACTACTTATAGTAAACGTAACAATGGCCTAATGTAAATGATGTACTTTATACTGTAGTTTACGGCAACTGAACTGTTATAATATTTCATTTTCAAGCATACTTTGTATATACTTTGTTTCTAATTTGTTTGTAAAATAAAATTATTAGTAAAAAAAACACGTCATTGTATAAAGAAATTTTTAAAGTGATCGGTCATATCTCAAGATACTGATTATGGACATATATCGCATAAACCTGTTTTCAATTGATAATACTTAATACATAATTCAGCCAGTTATATTCAATCCTATGCAAAACAGTCCATATGATACCGTTGAAAAGATAACTCAGGTAAAGTATATTGGATGATCCCACCCTGACTGAAAGATTGCTCGACCGTGGTGCGATTCGAACCCGCGACTTTTATTTTGCTAGTCTATGTTCCAATCGACTAAGCTGCGAGGTCAATTCGGTTCGAGTACTGGATTACTTGCTTTTGATCTGGAGCCGGTTGTTCAAAGCACGATTGGCGCTAACCCTGGATTAAAATTTAATTACCTGCTGTTTTAGTTTATGTATTTCTGCACGTCTGTCTGTTCAAAACTTTAGAGAAGAAAACTCCTACTGGTTCAGAGAAGATCTCTAAAGAAATATTTCCAAATTTATAAAGAAGCTCTTGGAAAGTTTGCTTTGAATTTCACGTTAACCTAGGGTTAAATAAGCTAACCCATGCAGCTTTAAACAACTGGCCCCTGGATAATAAATGTTACTTAAGGCCTAGCTGACTGTCTACAGATTAGTCGTATACGATTGTAATTCTGGCGTATGAAAATTACTGCTGATGCCATAGTATACTATGTAGCTATAGCATAGCCAGATTGGCAGCACAATTCCCTCTTCATTTAGTGTATGGCGAAGTTTCTTTAGACGTGTTTATTCGATTATATATGTTTATTCGACATGAGTCATTGACTCTTGTTTTAGTAGAAAAAACTTCAAAAAATCACTGAGGAGCGCCATTTATCAAGCTATGTAGTTGATATTTCAGAAATAAGTTTAGTTCTTTCTATATCAGTATATTTTTATTATTTATCTTCTATCCGGAGAAATTTTAACATTTAAGCAAAGTGAAATGATGACTCGATTTATGCTATATATACGAACTATTCTGACGAATACAGTATGCTAGAAAAGCGCGCTCTCTACTGGCTATAGCCCCCCCCCCAAAAAAAAAAAGTGTATCATCTTTGTTTTTGCTGTCGGTTTTTGACCCTTTTTTTCCTGGTATCGAGATGGATCTTCCGTCAAGACGAACTGCGCACGCAAAGTTCATCTGGGTGAAAGCGCCGAAAGTGGTATTACTCGACGTAAACGACTATACTACGCCGAGATGAATTGTTGTATTGGATCATTCGTGTATATGTTGCTATTTGACAAGTGAAATCGTAGCCAAGAGTGACGGTTTCCATTGAGTAATTTCAGAAAATACAAAACCATGGACACGGTTAACATTCTAATTCAACGTTTCGACTAACTTGTATGCAGTCATCATCAGTAATGACGCTGAACTTTAAGAGGACCTCTCAGTAAAATCCACCCACTGGTTTGGGGAAGGGAAAATAGATTTAGCTCATATTTTGCATATGAACTAGACTTTGGTCAATATTAATCGAGCTTCTTTCAGAACGTTTCAACTTTCTGTTTTATAGGAGTTATAGCCATGTTGAAATTTGACCTTGCGAGAATATTTTCAGACCGGAAATGAAGGGGAATTTTACAAGAATTCATCTGATTTTTTAAAAACGTTGTGATGCGTTTATCCCCTCCAGTTACTGTTCACATGCAAGATTAACACTAATACTCTCGTTTACATGGAGATTGAACAACTTTATTTGCTTAATACGATTTTTTTATAGTTTTACGAAACTATGTTTTCAAGATGGCGACGAGAGGCTGAAAATTGCTCATATTTTACTTAAAATAGCTCAAAAGTGGCACCTATCTGAAGTTCAAAAGGCATGTAATTTGAAAGTATACCTACTAAAGTTAAGTAATCAGGAATAAAACTCGTCTGCAAGCAATTTTCTGAAAAGTTATAAATCTCCGAATTGGGTCTATTTTTAGCTGTTTGTTTACATTCGCGTGTTCGCTGATCAGCGACACTAGTAATAATTAAAAAGTTAAATAAGCTGGTTTATTATCCAGGTTCTAATTCACAACATAAAAACATTAAAAATACAACCTTAACCATTCTTGGCTTATTCGCATGAATAATTTCACAACTGTTAAATATCTTTTTAAGGTATAATCGGGCAGTACTTTCTGTGGTTGTAGCAAATTTCAAAGCTGTCAGTATCTCTGGCTGTATATAAAAAGTGTTCGGTGCTTTAACTTTTTTATTCAACTTGTCTCGTAATCTTTTTCTGTCCCTGTAAATGGAAATTTTGCCGGAAAGGTCGGATCGGACATTAATTCTTGCAGCATGGATGCAACATATTTTTGTACATAATTGCAGTCAAAATACTACAACCTTCCCACTTCCGCTTTTGTAGTCTGTTGTCATTTACTATTTTGTTTTGACTTTTGCATTATTGTAGCGGTTGCCGAATTATGGAGAAATATGGCGATAAAATTTAGTTGTTTTTTATTTTTGTAATATTTTAAATAATTGTAACAAAGGATGCATTTTTCGTTTGATTCACTGCATATGAACACATAAAATTTTGAAATTTAACTTATATCGTCGTATTTCCATATAATTTGTTAACCGCTGCAATAACAGAAATACTGCAGTAAGAAACAGAGATTTTCAAAAAAATAGTTTTAAAAAAGTTTTAAAAGAGTTTTAAAAAGCAAAAAAGTTTAAAATGTTAGATTTTTAAAAAAGTTAAAAAAATTACGGTTAAAAAAGTTAGGGTTAGGAGTTAGAGATTACTGGTTAGGAGTTAGGGGATTAGTGGTTAGGGGTTAGTGCCGCGAATTTATTATTATCATAAATTCAAAATGTGCTGCGAATTTATCATAATAATAATTTCGGACGTGTTTAAGAATTTACTCATATAGTAAATTCAAAGGTGGAGCTCATGCTGAACTGCAACACTAGCTTGCCAGTTATTTTTGATAGCAGCTCCTATTTTTACTTTGTCCATGCTTGAGTCATGGAAAACTAGAAAAGAACTGTTCTTTTGCTGGCCTGGGGAATTTTGCATGTGGAGAAAGCCGGGGAATACAGAAAGTTGCACAAATTGGGGAGTGTAGTGCAGACATTTGTACTCACCCCAGCAGTTGTAACCTCACGAGGCTTACCATCAACGAGAGTGAGGGCACTTTTACCTACCCAGGAATAGCTGACAAACATGACTATCCAGTCTGTTATTAGTTCAGTTTCATTTTCAATTGGGTCTATCCTGTCAATATGAGATCAGTGGATAGACTCTATAAAAAATGAAGCCAATAGACAAATTTGGCTAACGCTGTTTACATCGTTGCTACCCAATTCACAACTTTGGATAACTCACATGCCTAGTTACTATTGTTCTAGTTTACAGAAGCATAGACTGAATAGAACAAAAGTAACTAAACATTAAACTTATGTATTATCACTTTATATTTACTGAGATCGAGGCCGAGGGAAACAGTGTGTTTTGTGGACCAGAGCCACTTATAGATAGTATATAAGTGTTAAAGTATGAATAATTCACCGATTATTGGAGTGAACTTTGCGGCAGATCAAGGCAGGGGCGCCGGAGCCAGGGGGGCAACTGCCCCCGTTGCCGAAACAGTGCGGGGGCGGCACGGGAGCAACAGGTTGCCCCTTTTCACCAGAACTGCGCTTCGAAATTTGTGCGTTATTAACATGATTTGGAATTTATAACTATTTTAAGCAATCTTTGCTTAATTTTAACCAGTTGTAGTAAAATTAATGCCAGAGGCCGCGGAATTACTTTTGTATAATTGTGATCAAAATCAAACGATTTTTGAAAATATGGAGTTCCTATAAAGTCGGAAATGGCCTTTACAGAGTCTTTACTACTACAAAAAGGGCATTTCCTTTCTAGCCCCCCAAAAAGGCATTTTTTTCACTTTTAAAATGCGGTGAGGCACATGCCCCATTGTCCCCGGTTCTGCGGCCCCTGATTAATGCTAAAACAGGCAATATACACCTGTTTACTGATTTTATCAGCGCCCTTAACATGGTGCAACGAATAAAATTGTTCAAAATTGATGTCGAAGTTTGCCGACCCACAATAGCCACAAGTAGTCGAGTATCCATACAATAAAGTTTTAACAAATATTGCCGCCCAGAAAAATGATTGCTTAGAAGCAAGTGCCCTTTTGAAATGGCTGCCCAGCCGCTTCACATTGCTTCCGGCGCCCCTGGATCAAGATCATAATCAGGAGATTATGGTATTGTGTCAATGTATTGACGAAATTCTTATTATATTACCAATATATTATTTAATAACATTAAAAGATATCAGGATCGTAGACACCAGCAGAATCGTTGTAACTGTACTATTGTATGTGTATATTGAAAGTGTATAATTAGTGCAAGTGTATAAAGTTAAGTATAAATGTAAAGCAATTCGAATTCAAAAATGTTCTGTACACGATCGCTTAATTGTATATATTGTAATTATAGCTAAAAGCTAAAAAGGTTTACTCATGGGTAATAAATCATGTTATTTTAACTCTTCAATTACTAGTGTCGCTGATCAGCGAACACGCGGCGAATGTAAACAAACAGCTAAAAATAGACCCAATTTGGAGATTTATAACTTTTCAGAAAATTTCTTGCAGACGAGTTTTATTCCTGATTACTTAACTTTAGTAGGTATACTTTCAAATTACATGCCTTTTGAACTTCAGATAGGTGCCACTTTTGAGCTATTTTAAGTAAAATATGAGCAATTTGCAGCCTCTCGTCGCCATCTTGAAAACATAGTTTCGTAAAACTATAAAAAAAATCGTATTAAGCAAATAAAGTGTTCAATCTCCATGTAAACGAGAGTATTAGTGTTAATCTTGCATGTGAACAGTAACTGTAGGGGATAAACGCATCACAACGTTTTAAAAAATCAGATGAATTCTTGTAAAATTCCCCTTCATTTCCGGTC